TTGATTCTAATAGCTTCCTCAAACTCTCCTGATCACATTCCAATCCCTAACATCAACCAAAACGCGAAGAATTGGTATAATGACTCAAAACTGTACAGATGAAAACTTGGAGTCGTGCATCATGATTTAAGCATCTTTCTTAAGTTTTATTTGTTGATTCATGATTGTTATTGTGTTCTGATGCTAACCATACCAATTAATTTCGTTTTTGTGCAATATCCATGATTATGCCATTGATGCAGATTAGGGTTCTTCAACCTTAAAATTGGGGTTTTTGCAGTCAGGCAAAATTATAGGCTGGGACTAAGACCATTAAGTTCAACGCGTCTGGACGATTAGATTGATGTAGTCGCGATCAATTTATGATTCACATAGCGCTATTCGCTATTTCTTCTAAAGCTGTCTAAACCCACAATTGAAAAGCAAGCAAACATTTTTGAAAACACATTGAGCAAGTATCTAAGAGCCCATGGATAACCATGGATAGAAAGGGGTGCTAACACCTTCCCTTTCTATAACCTACCTCCCGAACCGAGAGCAATCTCTATAAAGGAATTTTTCTGTGCTTTTGTCCTTTCCATTTGGAGAAAATAAAAGACGGTGGCGACTCTTGCTTCCGCAACATTTCGCGAACCAGCTTTAAAACAGTCAGTTCCAGATCCACCGATCACACACATCATCAAAAAATGCCACGTAATGGAAAAAATTTACACCTCGGTGTATTTTGAACTAAAATTTGGAATAAAGGACCAAAATTATTTAAAAATAAAATAGGGGAATTGATTTAATGAGTTGAACATAATAGGGGGACCAAAACTGTAATTTAGTCAATCTATAAATATTACAATATAAATATTTATAATAAAATAAGAGAAAAACTACGATATAAAAAATATATGATAATTATACTTTTTATTTTTATTAGTTTGAATAAAAAGAAAAAAATTAGGAACTGAGAAACGTGAGAATAAAAATTTACAAAGAACTTCATATCTCATAAGCGTGAGAATAAAAATTTACAAGGAAATTCAAAAATAAAAAACAACAATATAAGAAACAACAATGAAGAGAAATTAAGAACTCTACTGATGATCGATGGATAATATAAATAAGAAATTAACACATAAATATGATAATAAAATGATCCATCCAATTATTTGTCACTACCATTAAATTGTCACATCATCAACTTAATTTCCAATTTTAAATTTTTTTCCACCTTTTATTTTTTTCAAATTTTATTATATTATACTTAAATTTCAACTTTTATCATCTTCTAAATTTTTCTGAAATATATATATATATATATATATATATATATATATATATATATATATATATATATATATATATATATATATATATATATATATATATATATATATATATATATATATATATATATATATATATATATATATATATATATATATATATATATATAAAAAAAAAATTACTCGTATAAATACAAAGATATTTTACTAATTATCATTAAAATATAAGATTTTTCAATTTTCTTTAAAAGCACAATTTCAATAACTTGTCAAAGGTTTATTAGTATTCTAATAAGGATGGAAATGGATTGGGCGGAAAAATTACCGTAACTTTAATCATAATTTTGTTGTTATGGTAGGAAAATTAAATAAGAAATAACATATAAATGTATAAAGTGATAATGTAATTGAGAAAATGAACTAAAAGTTATGGTAACTTTGGAGGAGACAAAGTCACTCAAACCTTATCATCCTATAAGGATTAATGATGTTTGTGGAGAAATTAACACGTCACCCTCTAAATTAAACATGTCATCCTCTTAATTTTATTTATTTCAATTTTGTCCTTGATGAGATATAAATAATTTCTAGACGAAAATTTTGGTATAGAACAAATTTTCGATACACCCTTACCAAATTTCCAGTAGTGCATTTAAAATTTCTGGTAAATCAGAAATTTCAAATTTATGTGGCAGTACTGGAAATTTGAGTTCTACTGAAACTCTCGATAGGTTATGTATTCAAGTTTTTTCAACGGTCGATATTTTACCGACATATTTAGAGGGTGTCTTGATTGCAGTGACACATTTGTATGGTATAGAATGCATCACCATTTGTATAAATAGGAGTTTCAAGTTATAGGGTAAGACATCTCAAAAAACGTCTCTTCTTGAGTATCTGATTAATGTAGAAGTGTATTACAACATATGCAATTCTACTGTTGAATTCAAGATTCCAGGTGGCTCTGAATCTCTTTCCAGCTTGAAAGAAACGTTGAATGGTTTGCTGCCTGATTCCGATAGCAGAAGGGTGACAAATGTTGAGTTTCGAGAGGATTGGATTAATACAAATGGAAGAATGAAATACAACCTAATCAAGTTGAAGAATGATGTAGATGTGAAAGCCATGTGGAAATCATTTCGCCGCAAGATAACTAAAGGTCCGATCGAGTTGGATGCGGAGATCCGAAGATTCATCGATAACATAATGAAGATGTTGAAACGTCCAGAGTCATCCAGTAGTGCCTAGGTTTTCATGTTTAGTTGTTTTAAGGTTATGTTTGTTGTACTATGTTATGTTATGTTCATCATCGAATCAAAACATGTAATCGCCAAAAGATTATGCAACAAATAAGATGTTTGTGTGTCACAAAATATACAATAATACAACCATAATAAAATAAATCTACATAGGCCCTCCACGGGCTACGTTGGCTAACCTAGTTAAACCTGTATAGACCTCACCATCAGGGTTTACCAAACCTATGAGACTATGTATTCAAGTTTTTATAAGAAAAATTAGGAAAATATGAATTAACGGAAATTTCTAAATTTCTGGTTTTTTTTTATAAAATTGAACTATCAGAAATTTCAAAATTTCCGATTCTGTAAAGTCCCTAGAATTTTGAAATTTCCAGTACAAAAGAAAAATTGAACTGTCGGAAATTTCAAAATTTCTGGTACGAAAATACCAAATTTTTTGAAAATTCCAATACAAAATACCAGATATTTCACAAATATACCGAAAATTCCTTTCCATCTCACTAAATTTCCGGTATCACAGAGATTTGAAAAATTCTGGTTCGTCACGGAAATTTAGAATTTCTGAAAAATATTTGGGTTGAGATTATTTGATCTTTTCATACCATTTTTTTTTGGTGGGTGGGGGGGTGACATGTTAATTCCTCGTGTCTGTGTAATCTCAAAACAATGACAATGGAATGGTTGTGTTCAAAGGTCAAAGGACTTTCTTTGACAATAATGATAGAGAATTTATTTGTACACCTCTTAGGGATGAGAAAAAACCCTTGAAAAACTCAAAAATATCCATCGGAGATGCATCTCCGAACGCACCCCAAATCAAGGTGTTTCGGAGATGCATCTCTGAAAGCAACCAAAATATCAAATTTTGAGATGAATTGAGAAATGCACTTCCAAAAATATCCAAGATAGAGTTTTGTCTCTGCATAATTCGAAAATACATTTACGAAATAAAAAAAATAATAATCAGGGAATATTTCAGAAGTGTATTTCTGAAACTTGCCGTGACACATGATAAGAATTCTTGAGACCAAATTGCTCCAAATCTTCTATATGTGGAGTACTTTTTGGAGATCCGGTGAAGATGTTATCAAAATGTCGCGACGTCTTCAGTTACCTGTTTATAACATGTAATGTTAAATTTATGTTTCAATATCCATGTAATTTCGATTTTCAATGTTAAATTTATGTTATTGTTTATGTAATATCAATGTTTCAATATCTATGTTATATCTATATTATTTTTTGTTTCAAAGTTTTTGTTTTGCTAAAATCATTTAGTGCCTATTTCAGAAATGTACATCTGAAATATAGTATTGGATATCTTCGAAAATATATCTCCGAATTAAATAATTGAAATTTCGTAACTTTAGTAATACATCTCCGAAATCACTCCAGAAAAAAGTGAAATTTCATAATTTCGAAAATACATCTTCAAAATCACTCCAAAAAAGATGAACTCTGAATGCATTCGGAGTTACATCTCTGAATTTTAAAAATAAAAATGAAATTTTGTTAGAGGTGGCCAAAAAGATGTAAGGGTGGAAAAAGAAATTTTATAATGATATCTTCCAATCAACTTTGTGGCCCCTCACTATATAACTCCATTATCAAATATTTGATCAAGTGCTTATAACCTTAGTTGTTCAACAATACTCCCTCCATTTTTTGATAATTTTTGTTTTTTTTTAATTGTCACTTGTAAAGAAAAAAGTCAAATGAATGTAAAAAAATAGTTAACGGTATTATAGATAAAAGGAAAATTATTGTTTGAAAACTAGCAATATTGATTAGCTTCTTTAGTATATGTAAAAAGTATTAAAAAAAAATGACCCTTAGAAATGAACAGTAGAGTATCCAATATCATAAATCTTGCATAAATTGAATTGAACTAGAACAAGTTTAACTAGAAACGGCCTATGATGATCACTTTGTTAGAATTGGAACATGATTTTGACTTCATATAGTAGGAATGGATAACTAAGAGACTTCAAAACAGTATATATATATAGAGAGAGAGAGTATGAAGAGAGTGTAACCCTATTTAATTTACAGTGAAGGTATTTGTACGTAAAAATGTTAGGATACTGTTCGCATCTATATTAGAAAATCACAAAATGACCTAGCTTGCTCGATCAATGACACTCATCAATCCCAAAAAATGTGAAGCAGTAGAAAAGCCAACGATTTTTCCTTTTCCTTTTCATTATAATGTCGCTTTCTCTTTATCTTGTTTTATGCAATGCTTCAAAATTCAGACTATTTCTCATTCCTGCTACATGGAATGCTCAGAAATAGCCAGAAAAAAACCCAGATAGCCATAAGAACAACACAGGCACAAAATCACCATTAACTCACATGAAAAGAACAATAGATAAACAATAAATAAAGCGCAAACAATTACTAAAAGGACTACCTTCACCGAAGCGGTTCCTCAATTGCTGTATAGAGCGCAAACACATCTACCTTATGAATTTTTAAGGTTGGAAGAACCAATGACATTGAAAGGTGTCTTTGCCTGACTACCCTTTGCACTACCAGAAGCCTGACCAGCAGAGCCTCTAGGATGTGCAGCCTTAGTTGCTACCATTGATTTTTTTCTCTGCCAACAACATAACCAAACCAAGATAAACGTATTAATCACGGCGACAATAATAACAAAAGATATATTGATATACGGACACATCAGGTGCTGCCAAATCTAAAGGATATACTATAACTGACTTACAGCCGCTATGAGCTCCTTGTGAACATCAGTTGAAAGCTGCAAACAACGTAACAAAGTATAAGCCAAGAATATGAAATTCAAAAGAAAATAAGCCATTAATTAAAACTTAAACATAAGAATGATAATTCTTACTGGTTTTCTGTAGTTTTTAATCTCATCACCACCGAATTCAGGAAGTGTAATATTCCAACTTTTCTCAAAAAGATGGATATAAACTGTGAAAAGTGCTGACAGTGGAATCAGAACACAGACAATTTTTTCAGTAACTTACCGAGATGTAAAAGTATGTCCTTGGCTTCCAAAGTTGTTGATTTTCAATGCTTCGCTAGTGAGCAACCAGACCTAATTATCTATTTAAAGGATAGATAAAAGAAGAGGCATTATTAAAAACTATCTAATGTTTGTTTCTACTTAATTTATATATGATGAATGAAATCAGAACACAGACATTATTAAAAAATCAAATGAAACTTGGAAACTTTAAAAATTCAGATATTTATATATCGAATAGCTGTTTCTACTTAATTTATATATGATGAATGACATGATCTTTACCAAACCAATATTCTTTAAAAATTTTAAAACAAATAACATATTCTGAACATTAATTTGTTATAGAAACAAAACAAAAAACATAAAACACACTGCACAAATTATTTTGCAGGGTCGTGTTTAAGAGCAAAAACAAATAAAAAACACGATGTTTTAAAATTATATAATAATAGTTACTTCTTTCGAAATAATAAAGGAGATAAACAGGGACGGATGTAGAAATCTATCAAACGGGGGACTAGAACAAACAAACTTATTAGTTTTTTTTTGTAAATGAAGATGTTTTTTTCGTACAGCTGTGAAGAATAATTTCTTAAAATAGCTAAAGATCCATTAAAGAGGTTAAATAGAAGTCAGAGATTAAATCTCCGACAAAATAATGTGAACTGTATCCCATTAGTCCATAACAACAAACACAATACACCAAAAAGAAAAAACTCACAGACTCCAGAAAGTTTTCTGCAATATCGCCAAGAATGTCTGCAACTTCAGGATCTAACTTCTCCAACGGATCAACCTGATAATAAAGCAGAAATGTAAATATGACGAAAACATACCTAATTCATGAAAATAGGACTGTGTCAAGCTCACAATTTGTAATAAAATTATCAAAGCTGAAATGCCTAATGACATGTTGCATTCAATAATACATGAACCAGAGTCCAATTGTAACTCGTCCATGATATCTAAAAGAAAGTAGAGTCGAATTTTACTAATTTTGCACAATGAAGTGTTAAGGAATCATGGTCCAGAAACAATGGGGTAAGACAATTGTAAGCAGTGAAGTAGTTCTAGAGCAAGGCATTACAGTGAAAAAAGTATGCTCCTTTGCCATACATTCAGTAAGCTACACAAGTTTTCAGTCATGCATTTGAATGAGAAAACATAATTATATTCAACTACAAATAGTTCTATCTATGGATCGAAAAGATAGAACGTTGGGTAAATGGTCCCTAAATTAGGAAGATCTGTTTCAGATTATCCAAGTCTTTTGAAATAATGCTTATGAAATCGAAGAGTTAGTAGAGGATCGGAGACTCCTGGAGGCCAATGGGAAATATTTGAAAAAATATAAACCTATGTGCAAATAACACATGTGCAAATAAGATACCAAAATGGTAACTGAAATCAAATGCCAAAATGGCTAAATTCGTTACAAAATTATCCAAAGCCGAAACCACAAACTAAACAATTACAACAAATAGGCAAGTGCAGAAATTAAAAGGGCAGAGTGGCCTTTATTCGTTCATACTTTGTTTTGGAGAGCGACAAGCGACGTTCGATCACATACCGGTTGGAAGTAAGGGTAGCAATTTCGATTCCCAAATTTTGGGCCCTTTCGACATGATGTACGCCTACTTTGATCTCGTCATCAAGCTGTTTACGATCAAGTTTTTGAATTTCTTCTTGGCGTTCCTTGGCTTTTTGAATGTTGGCCTGCAACTCTTTGATTTGTTGTTCCCAGTTGGAGATATTGGAAGCACAGGTATTGAGTTCCTCTTGAATATGTTGTAAAGTCTTTTCCAACTCTTCGACTTTGTTGGTGGACTCAGTGGCTGCATCCCATTCTGCTGTTTGGGTCTCCGTTTTGTTTTGGATCTTGGTCGAAGCCTCTCGTTTGCGTATGAGATCTGCAGTAACTTGATCAATGAGGAACCCGAGCTCTACAATGACATCTGCAACCTCTGGAGGAGTAGTTAAGATGTCAACTTGTTTCAACAGATCCTTAATCCCATAGCAGGCAATTTGATCATTTTCTAAAACATGGATCAAGTCAACATCAAAGACTTTCTCTTTGATTCGTTGAAGCAGTTTGTCAGCAGGTTCGACAGTCGATTGACCACCAAAAGCGGTAGAAGAACTGGAACACTTATCAGTTGAGCTACCTCTTGTGCTCATCATAAGTTTCAGATACTTAGCTGGTTTCTTTTTCTTCAAATTTTCTAACTCTTGAGAAAGAGTAGTATAAGTGACAGTCAAAGGGGCCTCAAAACCCTTAATTGTCCCAAAGGGTTGGTTGATAACAGTTGTGACATCCAGTTGGGCATTGTCATTTTTAGGTCCTTCTTCGCCTTGAGGATCTTCAAAGATGTGAGACATATGTTCGTCTTCATCATCTGGCCCGTCTTCGCCATGATTGGGAATTTTGGGTGAAGAATCATTTGGTTGTTCTTGATTGAGCTCTTCCGTGTCTGGAATCTCCATGTTGTTGTGCTCTATCTCTTTGCTATCACTTTCAGAGTCGGATGTTTGAGATTTTTTGGGTGAAACAGCGGGTGGACGAACATCTTGATGAACTTCAACAGGTTGATTCACTTCGCCTGTAGATCCTTTATTTGAACCTTTGTTGGATATAGGATGGACTAAAGGAGAATTAGTACTTCTGGGAACAACATATTTGATGTTGGAATATTCGCTACCAGTTTGATCATCCTGCAAAAGAAAGAAGAATTATTATCAATTGGAACTAAAAGCATAACGAAAGAAGAAATGAGGTGAGGTTGCATTACCTTAGGCCCATTAGCACCGGGACTGGAGTTATCACTCTTAGCATGATCAAGCGCAGCATTGGCATCTGGCTCATAATCAATGTTAATCACTTTCTGAGCCCAACGCTTTGATTTCTTGATTTTGATAATGTTGGGTTTTGGTTGAGAAGTGGTCTTCGATGGTTTCAACTTCTTCTTTTTCTTTGCAGGTTTGAAGGTCTCCAATGGTTTCGACTTCTTCTTTTTCTTTGTAGTTTTGGAGGTCTTCGATGGTTTCGACTTCTTCTTTTTCTTTGCAGGTTTGGAGGTGTTTGGTGACAGACATTCGACATCTGTTTCTGTTATTTGAGGTTGTGGATTGGTTGGCTTTTGTTTTTTGGGAGTTAGATGAGGTTTTTGACTAACCTGAAAATAACAAAGGTATTAGCAAAATATGTATTATAATCCCTCCGTCCCATATTATTTGTCACAATCGACCATTTCACACAGATTAAGAAACAGTAATAAATGAAAGAGAAATAATAGTGACTTTACCAAATTATCCTGATTAACTATTGGTGTATTCAAATTAACATTAATGTCAAGAGAGAAAACAATAAATTAAGAGTATTTATTAGAGGGTACAATTGGAAGATTAAATATAAAATTGCATTGATAATCTAAAGTGACAAGTATTTTGAGACAAATTTTTTTCTTCTAAATGTGACACTTATTTTGAGATGTATGAAGTACATGGAATGAAATGTTGAAATATGAGTTATACATTTGCTATTGTTGTTGCGAGAGTTGTCTCTTCGTTTTGGCCGTCGTCTTTGGCCGAAGTAGCAGCTTGTTTCGCTGCAGCAGCTTCCTTAGCAGCAGCAGCAGCCTTGTCTTTGATTTGTTGTCTTCGATCAACAGCTAAAAGAGTGGAAAAGCCAAAATTTTCAAAATTAGAGACATTTAAAAAAGTTTGGGGAAGAGTACACCTCCATATATTGGAGAAAGTATGCGAACATGCTTTGTGTCGACATGAAGGTGACCTTTGAAACTCTCAAGAGTATGCTTAATCGAAACCACCCGTTAGCAAGTTTTGGGGAATCATGTTGAAGGATTTTTAAGTGAGAACCACAGGAGAACCATTCTGGGAATTGAGGTCGAAATGCCAAGCCAAAATCAACGCTTGGCAGCCGTGGGAACTTCGGTGGTTGAAGTATAAAAGCTAACTCGTACCTGTCTTCATGCTTAACACAGGAAGGGATTTTTAAGTTAGGAAATTTCTTTGTAAACTTCTCTTTCAAAATAAATGATGGAATTTCGACGCTCAGGAGGGTTTGAAATGACAAGAGAAGCTGAAGGGAATATTTTTGAAGAAGGTTAGTCGATTTCGACTAAGATCTAAGAAGTGTTAGCAAAGATCTCGACCAGATTTTGGCGAAGAAGTCTCATGTCTACAGGGTGATAACAGTACGAGACTTAGAATATTTTAGTACTTAGTCTGAAGTGAGTTTGACAAAGCACTCAAGAGATTTGATTATATACACTCAAGAGAGTAATTACAAGATAAGATTGAAGTTATTTCCTAGGTACATGTATGTAATTTACAAGGCATAGATTCTTAGACTCCTAGATACATGAACATGCTCATAAATACAGAATTATAATTCCAATAATTGGAATAATTCCAATAATTCCAACAAAAACTACAAAGCACTTACCATCAAAACTTTAGAAATGTGAGAAATATTTGACCCGGATGTGTTTTTGACAAAGAACATACAGAACCTTCGTAAACCCAAATTTACTAGCTAAAACAGCAGTTACGCCCTTCCATAGATCTATTTTACATTAACACGAAATTACTAGTCCCGGTCTAAATGGTTTGAATACAACTGATAAGACAAAGTCGAGAGCAAAAAAAGCTAACTCTAAGAGTCTTAGTAACTTCATACACTCATAAGCCATCATCCAGTTTCTTACATGACTAATGGGGGACCTACTAAGACAAATACAAATTCATGAATGGACCTTGGAAGAAACTTGATCATTCTTTTGAATTTTAATAGGTTAGTCTAAACTATGTTTGGATATCTAATTAATAGTTAAATGGAACAGAATGAGATGGAATGGAACAAAATGGAGCAAAATGAAATAAAATTATCATTCAATTAATTGGATGTTTATGGGATGGGATGGGATGGGATGGGATGAACAAAAAAGATGGTTCAATCCTAGACCACTTAATTGGAGGGGTAGTGGATTATTGGATGCAACTACATGGAATGCATTTCATCATGTTCCTTTTCATTTCAACCTATTTTAAACAATCCAAAAAATGGACCTATTATGATCTCGTTTCGTTTAAATCTCACTCCATTCCACATATGTTTATTCAACAATGTTTCATAATAATAAGAATATGAAATGTAACCAAAAATAACATATAAAAAATATGAAAATGAACCTAGAAAAACCTACTATAGAACACAAGTTGTGTGGCACACCTGATTGACTAGCTCATGGATGCTTCTTTTTCCGAGAACACTCTTACCCAACTCTTCTGGGTCTGCATTTGGTAAAGCATTAGGTAATCTGCTTTGACTTCCTGGTTGAACTGCATTAGTTTGTGCAGCCACAAGTGACGAAGGTTTCTGATTTCCTGGTCCCTGTAGCCTCGTAACCTGTGGCTGGTGAGGCACATGTAGAGCTCTTGAAGATGGAACTTGTTGCCCAAAATGCTCCTGGGCTTGATTAGTAGGCAAAGGTTGCAGCTGCTGAGAAGTTGTTGGCATGGACTGCGGCTGAGAAATATGTGTCCTTTGCTGCAAGGATTGTGGGTTCAATTGCTGCCTATAAGCCTGAGATGGCAAAGGAGGCTTCCCTGGTGGCCCAGATGACAACCATGGCTGATTAATTGATTGCATACTTTGTGATGCACTTGGAGATGGAGTTGCAGGTGATCCGACAGATGACGGTCTCATAAGTCCATGACCTTGGAAGTTCTGAAGAAAATATAACAAACTAAGAAATCACAAACTTTTCCCCCAAAAAAAGAAACTTTTAATCAGGTAACAACTAAAAATAAGAAATGCTCAATGTAGTAAGGCCCTGTCCAGACAAACAACTTAATTAAGTTCTTATAACATAAATGCTTATGTATAGCTATTTACATAACAAAACACAAAATAAAGTGAAACCGTTTTCTTATAAGAAATGAACTATCTCCATATCCTGGACAGCTTATGAAGGTATCATAAGTTGTTGAAGCAAATAGATAAACTCAAATAAGACCTGTTTTATCAATCTCGGGTTGCGGCGTAGGGTGGCCATCTCCAAAAATGGAACAGAATGGGAGTGGAACGGCCGATACTTTAGTGACGTGGACACTAATACATTTGATACTAACTAACACATAATTATTAAAAACTAAAATAAATTAATTAAAATTTATGAAGTATTCATATTTAGAAATAAAAGTCACAAGTCTTAAGCAAAACATACTTGCAAATGCCAGTAAATTTCAATAAAATAACTTTGATATCCTTAAAATTAAGGGTAAAATCATATACGGCTGACTTCCAAAACCAATCCCGCTATTACTATCAGCCGAGTCACCCATTTGTGACAGAATAGCACGGGCTGACGCGGTTTTATTGGTTTTTCTGTTCCGTGCCGAGATAACAGCAGGAACGAGACTAATAACATAGAATAAGGCAACCCAAACAGGCTCTCACATACACTAAAAAATTCCAAGCACACAACAATACTCATAAGTAGCATTCAGTTTCACTTTCTCAACAGAACAGAGTAAACCCAAAATACTAACTTGTGAGCCGGCAGGTTGATTATTTTGAGCAGGGGGTTGCGGTCTAAGAGATGACTGAACCGGTCTCAGTTGTGAAGGCATTGGCCGAAATTGAGAAGGCATTGTTCTCAGTTGTGAAGGCATTAGCCGAAATTGAGAACCAAAAGACCCTAGCACCCCCATTCCTTGCATTGGCATTCTTACCTAAAAAACATAAACAGTAACATTCAATCAGAAAGCTTCAAAAATCAAAACAATCATAATCACAATGCAAAACCCTACCTGAGCGGTATTAGAATTTGAGGTAGAATCCGATCGAACCAATCCGCCTAAATGTTGCCCAAAGGAAGAAGAAAACGGAGGGGAAGGGTTCTGGTGGTGCGCAGGTACACCATTTGTCATTCCGCCTCTTGGCGCGGAAGCGGAGGAAATTGAAGATGAGGCTGTTTGAGGAGTGGCAGGTGGGATCGATGAGAAGTGCGAGTAATGGGGCTGTGGCGGCGGCGGTTTTCGGCTGAATGAGGGGGGAGGACGAGATTGGGGGAGGACTGGAGTGGGGGTTTTGGGGTTTGGCGTTTGGATTAGGTTAGGGTTAGAGTTAGGGAGAGGATGGAATGGTGCTGAGATGGGAGGAGTTGATGAAGAAGATGCAGGGAGGGAGGGTGGCGGTTGTTGTGGCTGAGAATGTGCGGGTTCAGCGGCGTTCCTAGCGGTGGTGCCGGTGGCCGGAGGTTGGGATTCCATGGAGCTGTACTTGCAATGTTATGTGAATTATGTCTAAAATTTGAAATTGCAAATTTAGTTTATTAAGATTTTAATCCTTCTATTTTTTGTTTTTTAAATTTTGATTTCATTTAAAAAATCTCATTCTTGTTTATTCCTAATAAATTTTTAGTGGATTCTTTTTCTCTCTTCTCTCTTCGTATATGTACACACCACCACTACACCTCAGATGCGTTCTTGATGTTGATCGTTTACATTAAAAAACAAATTTATCAATTTAAAATGGAAAATCTTATGACTCTTCATCTTGTTCGTTCTCTTTTATTTTCATGAACTTTAATCTCAACTTCTCACCATTGTGTCTCCCTTTCTGCTTCATTATTCACCATCCAAGCAAAAAAGTTTAATCATATGATAAAAACACCTTCATTTACCATTGTGTCTCCCTCTTTCCACCATTTATTGTGTTCATAGTTTACGAAATTCACCATTGAAGGAAGCACGAAGATCAAGAACAGGACGATGAATAACACTCCCCGGTCATGGAAAAGTAAAAAAAAAGTGAAATTTTGTGTGAGGTATGTGAAATGTTATTTTTTATGGGTTTAGGGTTTAGTAAAATTGTCAATCTTCATTTGTTTCTTTCTTCTGATTAGTAATGTTGTAGTGCAATATTCTGACTCTGATGAAAGTCATGTGTTTGAGAGAATTTATATATATTTAGAGGCCTGCAAGTACGGTTTTGCAAAATATTTTAGGCCACTTAAAGATTTGGGTGCTTGTTTTTTGAAAGGAGATTTTGGGGGTAATTCATGGAAGTTGTGGAGAGGGGTGAAAATGATAAGATATTTCATGTTGTTTGTGTTGTTGTAGAGGTTGAGACAAGAGAGCTTTGGGAGTGGTTCATTTACCTGTTGTTGAAAGACTTTGAAGAAATAAACCATTGGATTTATGCTTTCATTTCAGACCAGCAGAAGGTAACTTTTAATGTATAGTCTTTTGTTTTGCTATGAAATTATAATTTATTGTCTTGGTGTTTTAATAGTGAACCCATCAGTGACGAGAAAGACAGTTGGTCGTCCCAAAAATATGTGAAACAAGATAAATGATGAGGCTAGAAATCTACATGTGCTTCTAATAAAGCTTAAAATAGTCATTTGTCATAAGTGTGGAGTCATGGGACACAATAAAAGAAGTTGTAAAGGAAATAGGGTTGATGTTGTGCTTTAAAACGTGTTTGTCAAATGCAAGTATGTGTGTATGTTTGAAAGTAGCAAGGGATAAAAAGTAAGGATATCCTACCCCATAGGGAGTGAAAGTTACTTAGATTGATTTTGTAAGAAACTATCTCGTAGATTTAAGCATGAGAAAAGATACAAATAATATATATATATATATATATATATATATATATATATATATATATATATATATATAAGACACAAGTTCAGTTTTCTTCTAAACAATATCTAAACAGTGTAAAATGAGTGTTGTGGATATTTCAAAAGAGTGTAAGTTAAGCTATGATTCATTAATATTAGTTAAATAACTATGTGTTCATGATGTGCAATGTCATGCCAGGAAAGGTCAGAAATTGATCTACGAGTGTATTTCTACAACATCAAATACATGCATTTCAAGCCAAAGGAACAAATCTCTAAGTCACACTTATAATCCTAAAATACGCTTGTTTATATTATGAAAATCCTTTATAGTTATAGTTCCTTGTCTCTAAGTGAACTAATCAAGTGAATATTATTATCCTATTATCTTCAACTACTTTTATTATGAAATGCACTTGTTATTGGATCTCTCACAACAACAAACTTTTATCCTTTTCTAAATTGACCATTCAAAGAATCATGTTTTTATGAGAGTTAATGCATAATAGAACAAGGCACTTAACAACATATCACTTAACATAAAAATAACATAATATTAATTTCTCACTGCTCAACAAACAAAAGTTTTAGCTCATGATGAACCGAGTACAAACTACATAACTAGTTCTTAAAGGCAACATTCTTAAACAAATAGTGAAAAGAAATGTAAACCTAAAGTAACGTGAAGCCTCCTTGTGATGGATGATCAGTAAGAGATGACTTCAATCACGCTAGGACTCAGCAGCAGGTACTGGGAATGGTGAGAAGGAGAAGCTCTCTTTTCTCTCCACTAACACTCACACTATTTTCTTCCGTGTTTTTCTTCAAGATGTCGAACTCTTTTTTCATTCTTTGACGGGGTCTATTTATAAGCCTTTAGCTAGGGTTCCTTTGCATTATCTTGGATCACGGGCCTTATGAGAAATCACATCAAGCCCAATGTATTCTTCAGCATATTCTCTCTATTCCATCTGCTTCTCTTGCAAGGAATCAAGTACAAAGACAATTGTGGGTGACAAGGTGTATTGTGACAGTCTACCATGGCAGGGGTGCAGACGACGTTGTCCTTTTTTGTAAGGCGCTCTTGTAGTGGGCGTACTATGTACCCTTTATTATCCTCTAGCTCCTTTTGATCTTATCCAATTGATTCAAAGGACTTTCCTCAAATGCATCAACAAATTTTCCCTCCAATGCAGCTTCTCTTCCACGTATGCCTTGGGAGTTCATTTGGTTCCATCATTTCATCATTTGTGTTGTTTCCAACTTTTTAATTTGAACCTCAAGATGTTGTCCTCTATAGGCTTGCCTCAGCTCGTCAAAACTAATCTTGAACCATGCAACAAACACATCTAAACTTTAAAAGGGAGCATCAATTATGCTCCAAACAAATTATTATAAAAATAGATAAAATGCAATAAAATAACTACAAACTAACAAATAAGATAACTAAGAATAAAGATTAGGTTATGTAATAACTCATAAAATGTGGGTTATCACACCCCCAAACTTGAATCGTTACATGTCCTTAGGTGATGCGACAGATAACGACGGAGAAAACATCTTAGAGGACAGTTTTCAAAAATTGGCACAACTCATCCCTGCTGCCAATCACAAGTGTGTGTGTGTGTGTGTGTGTGTGTGTGTGTGTGTGTGTGTGTGTGTGTGTGTGTGTGTGTGCGCGCTTTGTGAATTATTGATGTTACATGTCATGTCAATACTCTTCACTCAAGATAGCTGGTCTAAATTCAACTTTGGTTGTTTTATTCTATGGTCCAAGAACTCATCTATCAGTTTCAGAAGGGTGCTTGATCGGTCTGCTATTAGACTTTTTATTCACAAAATACTTAGGATGACATATGCATTCATTGAAAAGTTTTGTTAGATGCTCCATGTAACACCCTTTTAAACCTCGCGGAATATTATAGAAATAATCAGAGTAATTTATCATGCATATCACATAAGGGTGTCACACATATTCCAAATCACACATTACACATGTCATGTTCAATAACACTAAATTAAATTTATGCTTTTCATACACTTCACATAAGCATGTCGCAATGGAATCACTTTATTTTGAATAACCTCATAATATTCAAGTCTCAAATAAACTTCATTCATTTAATTAACTTAGGCATAAAAGTCACTTTACACCATAATTCAAATCAGAATAACATAATAAAGTATAGTACATAAAGTATCTCTCCAAAAACATGAACCCAAACGTTTCTCAGTGTTACATGATCAAAGCATGACTCAACCCTAATAAATAAGTGAAATAAAATAAGCTACTCCATCAACTACACTCTTGCTTAAGCAACTGTAATCTTCAATACTTGGACGATGTCGTTTAAAACACAATTCCAACAGAAGGGTGAAAATTCACATAATTATAGAAATCATATAACAATATATAATGTATAACATGTATGCATACAAATAATATTCTCACAACTCATATGATTTATAAAACAGAACATCACCCAATTTATTATACCATTATAAAATACACGAATAATCTACAATTATACGATTATATTTATTTGATCAATTTCACAATTTCACATAATGCACATAATTTCATATTATGACACAAAACACCATGTGACTCAATGCAAGACTCAAATGAAACTCATGCATGTGGTACAAATCATTGTTATTTTTATTCAGTTTTTACTTTAAACCGGGTTTGTCCTCTAGATCAATAACACACAAACATCCCGTCCTCTAAGCTTTTAAGCCCCCTCGATAGGTTTGGGACAAGTCACTAGCTCCCTCAGAACTAACAAGCATGCCTCTTGAAAACAGATGATATATGTGCAATTACAACAATCATATACAATTAAGACCATTCTCTAATCTCAACATCCATACATGTCTTCAATAATTTATCACAATTGATTTGCCACACAATTACACATACATGCACATATTTATGAATCATCCACACACAATTCATATTCATTTACAATATTCTACCAAATAACATATTATGTATACATATTATACATACCACACAACACGATATCATGGTATCACCATTCACCAAATATGCTATCAACTCATCATGTTATAATCAATAATAATAATCCAACATCACCATATTATAACAACACAACACACAAATACATGTTACTTTACACAATCATGCAGTAATTAAATCACCTAATCCTATTAAGACCATTTTTATTGAAAATAATATCACGCTAACTTTCTAATGCTTCAAAATGGTGACTAAAATAGTGTTGGAACATGTCCATGTTCCATATTGAATTAAAAAAAAAATTTCATTTAGTCCCACATTGCTCATGTGAGAAATATTAACCATCTCACTTTATTATATAAGGAAGTCACTTGTTTCCTTACAAAACACACCAAAAACATTTTATTAGTTTTTCCTTCCTCACTCTCATAACTCTGCGTCTTTCGAATTGTCGAAGCGCCAACTTCTTCCCCTTTCTTTCTACTCGTTGAATTTTCCGAGTATTTTCTTGAATTCTCTTTATAGAGAATAATGTTAATTTCTCCTCGTTTGAGTTGAGAAATTTTCAAGTATAATTTTTTATTCTCTTTAGAGAATTATTCGAATTTCTCTTTGTTTGAGAAATCTTTGAGTGATCAAAAATGATCATTATTGAA